ACTTTGTCATTAGTGGACCAACTGAGCTACTTGTGTGGATAATTTGTTTATTTACAAAAAAAAATGACTTTTTGTGTGCATTAATGTACCATAAGTGATCAAAGTGCACCTCAGAGGCAAAGTGAAATCCATCACATTATGTATGGGAAGAATACTTTTTATTGGAAGCCGATCCTAGCCAGCCGCTTACATCACCCTACTTTTCATCTTATATTGTGAGGTGGCTCCAATAGTACTCTTGACGGATTGAGCTATTTTGGTTCGAGCTCGAACTCCATTTTGATCCTAATGAGGTTAGTTTAATTTTAACTTGACCACGAGTCATATTTAAGTTCGACTACTTACTCGAGCCGAAATCGAATATGATAGTACATGTTCGGTTCGGTTAAAACTCGAACTTATGGATTGCACGGGAATTATATGAGGTGTTAGATTTTTTTTATGGAAAACTCACTGACTTATATTAAAAGATCATTAGCAAACCGGCTTACAATGAAACTTGGAGGAATAAAATAACTTTTTTGCTACCAGACATGGAAACAGCCACTCTAGCTAATGCATGAGCCATCTGATTCGTTGGACGCCTAGACCACTGGATTCTAACATTATTATTATCGTTTTAATCACTAAATATTTTAAAACGTTTCCCACGTAAAAATATGGTGTTAGATTTAAACATCTTTAATTAACTAGTGTGGTTTTATAAATTTGAATACGCTTTTTTTGGCAAAATAAATTTGAATATGATTACTAATGGATCGAGTCTTTATCGAATAATTTGGCACAAACATGTTAACGAGCGTAAGCTAAGTTTCTACATCTGAACATATTTTTCGAGCTTAATGAGCGCTTGACTTGAACATTGAATGTACATCTTTCGAACTGAGCTCGAGCCTCGTTGAAAAAGCTCGTCGAACTTGGAACTCAAACCTGAACTGTTAGAATATATGTTAAATATATTCTATTCATTATGTATATATTTAGTTACCTTGTTTATAGCCATCAAATATATTGTATATATTTGTTTCCTTGTTAATCTCTTTGTAAACGTGTATTTAAGCACCATTTTGATAATGAGAAAGCACGGTTGAAGTCTTTCATGGTATCAGAGTAAGGTTTATTTCTCTGTGACCTCTGGTTTTTTTTCTTCTCCTTTCTTCCGCTGCACACCAGAAATTTGCCCTCATGGCTAACCCCCAAAAATTTCATTCATCCCTCACCATTACGAATGTCAAAACTCTCATTCCTATCACGTTGGACGCAGACCATGGCCTATACCACTCTTGGGCCGCCCTCTTCAAAGTCCTCGTTCAGGTTCATGACCTCCATCACCATATAATTCCTCCCAAAGACGAAATAGAGAAAGCTGCCTATGAGGCTACAAAGACCGCCGACCCTGCTCTCTGGCGGAGATTGGATGTTGTAGTTCTGCAATGGATTTATGGGACTGTTTCCACGGACCTTCTTCATGCTATTATTTGACGATTTTCGAGCCAGCCTTAGCATTCGCGAAGCTCCCGCTAAGACTGCGGGGGAGTGTTAGAATATATGTTAAATATATTCTATTCATTATGTATATATTTAGTTACCTTGTTTATAGCCATTTCATTTATTGTATATATTTGTTTCCTTGTTAATCTCTTTGTAAACGTGTATTTAAGCACCATTTTGATAATGAGAAAGCACGGTTGAAGTCTTTCATGAACGGTGAACACCATAATTACCAAAAAAAATATAATATATCTTTTTTTTACTAAAATTGAAATGCTTCAAAAATACACTACAGGAATTGATTAGATTAGATCGACTAGCGACTAGAATGCCAAAAGATGGAAGGATTGCACCACCAGCCACGCCATAAATGGTTCTATATGTCATGAGCACAGGAATTTAATTTCGGCTTTGCTGAGACACAAAGAACATGATCAGGGGTGGAGCCAGGATACTGGGCCGGTACAAAGAATTTTTTTAGAAAAAAATTTACACGAAATTTTTTACCTTAAAAATTAAGTTGTTTTAAAATTTGGGGTGAGCAATGACCTAGGTTGGCCCACCTCCTACGGTGCACCGATACTTTACCCCGATGACGTATCTGCGTATCCGATACGTATCTGATACCGATACTCACCGATACGCGTCCTGTACGTATTGGGTCTGTATCCGTAATTTAATAAAAGTATCGGGCTTATTTTTTAAAATCCCGATGCTTCCGATACCCGTATCCGTAAACGGATACCCGTATCCATGATACGATATGCTTATCCGCTCCTATAACCCTCATTTCGTAAACGACATGACGAAAACTTAGTAGCTGCCCAAACGACCACAAGATGCGGAACATTGATAAAGATGATTTCGAGAATATGAAAAAATTTGGAATACTATAATTTGTCATTTTATCGCTTGATGAAGTTTAATTGAAACAAAACTTAGATGTAAATACAAATAGAGAACAAAAAATATTATTTGAATTTAAATCAAAATAATAGTATTTAAGATTTTCTAGCCTAATCTTTGAAATTTTATTATAATAGTTATTTTTTGTACAATAGTTATTTTATTTATGAATCCTTGAATTATATATTTGCAAATTAAACCCTATATTTTTATTATTTATAAATATACCCCCGTACCCGTATCCTATAATTTTTGAAATTGTCGTATCGCCGTACCCGTATTAGTGTATCCGCGTATCGGCGTATCCGTATCCGTGCAACATAGCCCACCACTAGCTCCGCCCATGAACATGATAGAAGCCAAATGAAATTCCTTGACTGGCCTAGATCATACTTTAGATTTTGGTGTTCATTCTATTCCAATTAATGATCCTATTTTGTCATGACATATTTTGAATGATTTGCTTGGAATTTCCCAACCTCGGTTGATTGTGAATGAAAGATAGGGTAATTATATTAAGCTCAAACATTAGTAGAATGAACTAAGCATGACTAATAAAATCACATTTAAAATGAAAATAAATATGTTGTCTTGGGTATCAGTACATTATAATCCTAACGTAGACGGTACTCACGTTAGATCCTCCGAGAATGTAGCATTTCTTAATAATATGGAATACAATAATGTACAAATATCTTAACTCATAAAAACGAAATGTTTTAGACTCTAAAATATAGTTTACAGACCATATTACCCTACACGCCCCTATAAACAAAATATAATCTCAAAATGACGAACGTTGAAGTGTTGAACCATAACAAGTGTGAACGCAGATCCCAGGTTCTCTCACTTTAAACGATATGTACATTAAATACACGATTATGTCAACAAGTGGCACCAGTGGTCTAGTGGTAGAATAGTACCCTGCCACGGTACAGACCCGGGTTCGATTCCCGGCTGGTGCATTTTTATGTGTACATTCAAGATTTTTTGTGATAAAATATGCATGGTGGAATTACCGTCCTAAATAGGGATGGACCCGGGCCGGTTCCGGTTCCGGGCCGGGCCCGGGCGGGCTTTTTTTCGGGTTACATGGGCCCGGAACCGGCCCGGGTTGATACCGGGTCCGGGCCTAACCGGGCCGGGCCGGGCCGGGCCCGGTTCAATGTTTTTTTTTTTTTTTTTACTTTCTTGTTATCTCCCTACCCCCCCCACCCCCATGCCCCAAACCTCCCTAAAACACCCAGCCCTACCCTAGGAAAAGAAAAAAAATTGAAAAAACCAAAAAAAAAAAAAAATGAACCGGGCCCGGCCCGAACCGCCCGGGCCGGTTCAACAAAAATAGGGCCCGGAACCGGCCCGCCCGACCCGCCAACACGGGCTAAAAGCCCGGAACCGGCCAACCGGGCCCGGTCCGGTTTGGGCCCGCACAGTAGCGGGCCGGTCCGGTTCCGGGCCGGTTCGACCCGGCCCAGTCCATCCCTAGTCCTAAATATCGGACATTTATAACCATTTTGTAAACTTCGAATAAGTTCACAAAATGGACTCAGAATAAAATATATTGAGAACAAAGGATTAAAAGATAGAGAATACCAAAAATCTTTTGGACTTGAGGATTACAAAACTCTGGACCGCTGGACGAATCGGATCTCATTATGTTTATTTTGTCTAATGCAACAATTTTTTCTTTGAAAAATATCTCAAATCAGATTCATTTAGCAAACAGTTTTTAAAGATCACGAATCTTTTTGAATGGTTCATTTTTCTATGAAACAATATCTTAAATATATGCCAAATTCCACATAACAATTGCATTATAATATGAAAACTAAGAAAAAATAATGTCATTAAGATTAAGATCATCTACATTTGGTGGTCAAATGAAGACTGAACAAAATGAAAAAAACTATTTGTACACATTTTTATAACTAGCTACCGTTTTCTATTCGTGGATAGTTGTTCATAGACAAAAGCATGTTGTCAATAGGCTATTCACAAACAAAAAATAATTCATCACATATGAGTATGTAATAGTGTATAAAAAAGTGTGTACAAGAAGAACTGAAGAAGTTTTGGAAAAAAACTAATTAGTAAGTAGTAACTACTAACTATGTTGGCCCTTCTCACATAGTGATGGACCGGGCCCAGTCCGTTTCCGGTTCGGGCCTAAACCCGGCCGGGCCTGGAAGGTTTTGAGTAAGGCCCAGAACAAGCCCGCTTATCCACCGGGTCCGGGCCGGGCCTCGGGCCGGTTGTATTTTTTTTTTTTTGCTTTTCTTATTAACCCCCGACCCCCCCCTCACCCCCAGCCAAACCCAGGAAAAACAAAAAAAATGAAAAAAAAAAGGCTCGAGCCGGGCCCATACCTGCCGGGCCGATTCCTATTTTGGATGACCCCGAGCCCGCCCTATGCAACCCCCGGGTCGGGCCTACCCGGACCGGTCTCTAGCCGGGCCACCGGGCCGGACCAGTTCCAAACAGTGCCAGGCCAGGCCGGGCCACAAGGCGATCGGCCCGGAACCGCTCCATCACTATTCTCACATGCCCCAAATAAATAAATAAAAATGAAGAACCACCAACACTCTACAGACTCCAGCAATATTAACACAGCATTAAATCTATTCATCATCTTTCAATTCCCACAATGCACAAGCGTGGAGGTCCAACTATACCCACTTCTTCAAAGAAAATATTACAACAAAACCAAGTTACAATTGAATTTTACACTGAATTTAATTACTCCCCTGTTTTCACGGGATGGTCTCGCTAGGGATTTCATACTGACAATCCAGCTAATTTTTGCAAAAACAAAAATTCTTCTGTATATCCAAAAAAAAACTTCAAAACAAAACAAATCTCTGCCTAGATAGAGAACAGGGGAAAACAAGAGATAATCAAGTAGAAACAATAATGTAGGCTTAGGCCCCAATGTTCTCAATGTTTGCACCCTTATCCATCCTCTTCACAATACCAGCAATTACCTTTTAGAAAAGACAACCAATACAAGGACATGAATTAGAAACGTGTTTGAAATAGCTACATGGTTTTTCTGTACAGATAAAATGTAAAGAACAGTATTTCACCTTCCCAGGACCTAACTCATAGCTTTTGTCCAGCCCCTTTGTTAGTAGAGTCTTCACTGTTGTCTCCCATTGAACTGGGGAAGTTACCTGGAGTTCCAAACCATTTACGCAAAAAAATAATATTTTCATCAAACTTTCCACCTGCTCTAACATATGTCATCTGTCCAGAAAAGCACTTCATTGTTTTTGTTTACCTGGCATGCCAATATTTTCTTAATTGTCTCTGGATCTGAATGTGGCTCTGCATCAACGTTTGATATTACAGGTATTCTTGGAGTCCTCATTTCTGTTTCCGCCAAAGCAACTTTCAATCTTGAAACAGCTGGCTCCATAAAACTAGTGTGGAAAGCACCCGCAACAGCTAATCGCACCTTACAAAACAAAAAAACACATACAAAAAGAATGAATATGAGACTTTTTGGTGAGGGTAAATTTGTCTGGAATTGCTGAAAATGTGGGGTGTGGCATATGTTGAAGGAGCTATAGAAATTACCGAGCTATGAAAAAAATAATTAAAATATACTTTAGGGAAAACATTACATAGTATTAGATAATACCAAGTATTGTCCCTCACCAAATGATAATATAGTATAGAAAAATAGCCATTTTATGCCCCAACTATTCAAATATACGTAGTATAACAAAAATGATAAGGAACTACTTTTTCACATCGAACCTGTTAGGTAACCTATCAAAAATGATATCTTATCTAGCCATCAAATAAGCTTCATTTGCTGGTTTAGGAAGGGTTTTGATGGTGAATGGATTTGATGTTGGAAGGTGGCTTTATATCATTTTTGTTATATATTTGAATTTTTTGTAGGCACTTGCATATAGTCAAGAATGTAAATTTTAATTTAATTAATTGACTGGGAAAACTCAAGTGATTCATAAATGAATTTCATTATTTCTAATCCCGTGCAACGCACGGGTGAAAGACTAGTTTTTGTTATATATTTGAATAGTTGAGAAATAAAATAATTATTTCTATGAAATGTATTATTATTGGTTGATTGGCCACATTTCTAATTACTTATACATGTTTTCCCTACAGTTTGTTGACAGATATGAAAAAGCATATAAGGAAAAGCTAATATGATTAGCTGCTCAAGTAAAAAAGTAATTGAGCCATACTCAAGTTTACAAAAACGAGCATGTGTAGGGGACATACTGCCATTCGAGCTTTAAATGATTTTGCCTTTGCAGCTACTGCTTCCACTCCTTTCAGACCCCCTGAGACAGCATAATTACCCTGAAAGATATCAATACTAGTAATGTTGGATTACATTCAACTAGTTCCGCTTGAAAATATAGGGAAGAGACTAAGATTAATAAAATAATCATGAAGGGTGAGTTATCAAGAACCTACAGGGCATAAGAAATTTGCAATCTGAACTTTGTCGGCTTCATCAACTTCTTCATTGGCTGCATCACACAGTTGTTGTACCTTCTCAGAGTCCAGTCCTATAATACTAATCATTGCACCTTTGGCAGCATCAGATGCATCCTGAGGATGATGGCAATACAAAAATGATTTCACAGCAGCGTGATTTGAAAGCATATATCATTAGTTAAACTATTGGCATTACCTGCATTGCTTCTCCTCTTAGTTTTACTAGTTTAAGGCCATCCTCAAAGCTATGAAGAAAATTCATATCAGCGTGTTGTTTATCATTAGCAATTCATGAATTAAAAGCCTATTTGGTAAACCCCTTAGTTAATCTTATCAATCTGATTTTTCACCAAATAGTCAAACTCTAACTTATTCTAGTGCACAACTAAATTTGCTAATAATGAAAAAAGTAGTATATGAATCACTTGTTTGGCAGATGAAAATAGAAAAGTTGCATTATGCCTTCTTCTTTTATATTATTTCCTTTACTTAATTGAAGAAATATGTTTTACATGATTTTTTAGGGTAATTGAGGGTTGGTTTGCAACTGCTTTTAAAAAAGCACTTCTCAGCTTTTGGCTTTAAAAAAGCACTTATTTTCCCAAACACTACAACTTTTATTTTTCTCGGCTTCCGCGTCAAAAGTGCTTTTACTTTTTCTATTACACAAAAAGCACTTATTTTACCAAACACTACCCACTTTTACTTTTCAAAATCACTTTTTTCTCAAACACTATCAACTTTTATTTAATCACTTCTCCCCATTTCATTAAAAAAATCACTTTTTTAAAAGCAGAAGCTGTTGCAAACAGAGCCTGAGTAGATTCCAACCAACTTGGCAATTTCAGCAATCTTAGGGCATACCAAATAGGCTCTAAATATATAGATGTGGGAAACAAGATGCTTAATACAACCCAATGACCAACCTGAAAGCTCCTGCAAATGCAAGAGCGGTGTACTCTCCCAGGCTTAGGCCACATGTGACATCAACGGAATCAATTATTTGCTGACCATCTTCACGAGCCCGGAGAACTTCAACAGCAGCTAAGCTTGTGACATAGATAGCTGGCTGTAGCGGAAAGTTAAAACAAATTAAAGACTAGCATACACAATTAGTTAGATTAACTTCTGTATGTGCAGATTAAAAAGAGAGGATGAGTAATTCATACCTGACTAATGACGGTAGAATCAAGCTTGTCTTTTGGCCCATTAATACAAATATCCAAAAGGTCAAACCTGATTAAATAAAATTAAAAATAAAGCCCAAATATTTGTTATAAGGAATAAAAGTACAATATATATACCCCAAAATCTCATTTGCTCTTGTATACAGTTCAGCAGCGGCTGGCACCTTCCGAGCCTCTGTACCCATTCCCACTGCTTGGGCTCCCTAAATATTAAAGTGATGATCGGAAAATCATTAGCTGAAAATAGCTCTATGAGTTCATACAAGCACTAGTGCACTACTAAGCAAACCCAGTAGTTTTTTTATTCAAGAGTAACGAAAACCGTATAGAGTTATAAATGCACCACTTTCTCCAGTTTCAATTTGAATATAAACAAAAACAGAAGGTTATATACTAATATGCCCAGATCATATAACATTGAAGCGAAATGGATGAGACTCATGAGAATAATATATGAAACATAAACTGTCCTAAATGAAGTAAAACTGTGTTTTTTAAAAATAAGACTACCATGTTTTTTACCTAAATAGGAGCTGGCATGCTTGGAAAATACTGTCAACTATGCCACTAACACTGGTGCATTAATGTTTGATAGTCTAATTAAGATAGTATGATTTTAGGGTGACAGTAATTTACTCATATTTAGGCGGAAACATACTCCTATTTCGGGGAACCACATTTTTTACTCCTTTTTGAGAAATTTCCCTATATGAAACTTGATTTTAAAAATGACACGACCTATTGAACTGCAATGTGCAGATGGCACCACTTTTTGGAAAATTTTAAGGAGCCACATATGATTTCACTATAGAGTCAGTGGCCTCATCATAGCTATTCATTTTCATAATCAGGTCCTCCAGTATAACCCCACAGTTAAAATGAGTGTATACAACAACAACAACATCCGAGCCTTAGTCTCAAAAGATATTGGGGTCGGCTAACATCAATACATGATATCACCACCAAAAGGAAAAGAAAGAAAATAAAGATAAAAAAAGATAAGCTATTATAAAAAAGATAATATAAAAAGAGATGAATTTACCTAAAAATGATAAACTAAAAAGGATAAAAATAATGTTTACATATGCATGTAGAGGCCTTCAAGGGCTCTACTAAAAATGATAAACTAAAAATGAGTGGTTATGGTGAGGTCACATATGTAGGTATGACTCCTTAGTTTTTAGCAATTTATTTCCTTTTCAATTTGTTTCCTTTTCGATCAAGTAGAGGCCTTCAAGGGCTCTATTACTCACCTCTAATGCTCATTAAGACATTAGAGATGACCACACTAAACTACTCCTCTAGTTTTATGACCACGCTAGATCCTATCATTTTCCACAAATGCATCAAATATTCATGCAGCAAGTATCTTTTTGCTGTCATAACTCATAATGCATAGAGGTAGCATTTTATTAAGGCCTGAGATTGGTTAAATTGATAAGAAAAATAAAAAACAATGAAATCACATCGAAAGTATGTTAAGAAGTGATCTTATGTTCTAAATATTAACGCGATTTGGTATAGTAGCCAAAGATTTGTATATTTCGTGTTATTTATAAACTGGGGTTGAACAATTTTTCAACACATGTATGCATTTATGATCAATGTATATAAAATCCAATTGAAATTGTAATGCATAAGAAATTCAGGAAACCAGACCTGTCCAGGAAAGAGAAATGCAAGAGAGGGCTTGTAATCCTTGAACAGGGTATCATCAACATCGGTGCGAGATCCAACAGAGAGCCTCATGGAAACCCTAGACTTTCCAAAATCCACGGGTCCAAAGCTCCGGCGGGTCCCATTCCAGGGGGCAGAACAGCTCGAGCTCCGACGGGACTCCAGGGAGGTGCGATAAGATTTGTTGATCCGCACGGTGGGAAGCACTATAGCGGAAGCGCTCATTGTGTAGTTTGTGTGAGCTAGCGAAGCAGTCGAGGAAGATGAGCCGAGATGAAAAAGAGCAGAGTGACGGTGGCGGAGAAAAACATGCATTTAAAATGGAAGCCTCATTTCGCGAATCGGCAAAAGGACAACTTTGTGCGGACTTTACAAATTACAACGACGTTGATGCAACCATTTTGAGGAAAAGGGGCTAAAGGTAAAAGAGTGGTCTGGATTAACGGTAGGGGTTGAAACTTGAAAGTGATTAATACTCCGTAGTAAGAGTTGGGATGTTTTTTTGGACTCAAATTTGCTAGTTTGTTTAAGCCAGATTTAGTATAGTCTAATGTGAATGGTTGTGATTCTAGTAAACGTCTAGTCTCTGTGTATTTTATAACTATGAAAGTCTGATTTGTTCAAGTGTGATCTGGTCTAGTCTGTTTAAGTCTGATTTGAGACTGAAAACAGTCCAAAACACAACATCCTTATTAGTAACAAATAAAATGATTTTGAAAAGTAAAAATTTTGGTGTGTGTTTTGTGGTAATACAAAAAGTGAAAATCAATTGAAATCATACATATATCTTGTTGTAGTTGTTAACTTTAAAGTATTTATCTTATTTCTTAAGTTTAAGAATAAAAGCGGACGGGGATCTTTGGCCTAGGATTTCTGTTGTGGCAGCTTTGGTCGCAATTTTTTTGACAAGTTTAACGAATGACGTTGGTCTTGAGCGATTTGGATTGAGGCAGCGATCTTCCAAGTAGACAAGGAGACAGTTCGGATGCAGTGCTTTCGTGGTGTAGCAATTGAGTTGGTGGCACATCTAGCGGCAATCTCTTTAGCGAGACAGAAGGGTAGAGTTCGTCAGGCTTTCTCCTGAACCACCACCATAGAATGAACGAGATGCTAGGATGCAAAAAGTTTACCCTATTAGTTATTGTTATTTTCGATTTGTTAATCTTTTCCATGTTGTGGGTAATTTTAGCTTTCAGTATTGTTTTTTATTTTGTTTGTTGGGTTGGGAATAGAAGGTTTCCTTTCTATTATGTGCTTTTTGTTGTGAGAATGAGTAGAAGCAACAAATTTCTCGCATGGTTAGCGATTGATATTATTCAGTATTGGGCAGTATACTTTGTGTCTGATCAGTATTGGGCAGTATACTATTGGCTATGGTGAGTAGAGGAAAGTCCTGGGTATGGAGTAAGAATGATATTTGGTAACTTGATTGTTGATTTGGCTGGATATTTGAATGTTTGTTTCAATAAATTTAATATAAGCATTTTCCATTAAAAAAATTAAAATAAAAAGGGATTGTTTGAAACAATATTATTAACTTTTTAAAATCTAAAGCTGAAAAGTAATACTCGGTAGCATTTATAGGGGTGGACCGGGCCCGGTCCAGTTCCGGTTCAGACCTGGGGCCGGGCGGGCTTGAATTGTTTTGGGTAAGGCCTGGGACCAACGCGGGAGTCTACCGGTTCCAGTTTATTTTTATTTTTATTTTTTAGGTTTTCATATTTATTCCAACCCCCACCCCCATCCCTCCACCCTTGAAAACACCCAGCCCACCTAAACCCAAACCAAACCCAAAAAAACAAAAAACAAAAAACAAAAAACCCGGACCGGCTGGGCCGGTCTGCATTTTTCACATCCCGGACCCGCCCTCGGAATAGCCATCGGGTCAGTCCTAAGCCCGGTACCTGTACCAGTCACCCGGGCCGGGCCGGCTCCATCCCTAAGCATTTATCTATTCGGTGTCCTAGTCTTCCACAATGTGTGCATTTTTTAGCTTTTATATTGTAACCATTTGGAGACATTTTTCTTAAATTTGAATTAAATTTGCTAACAGGGGTTCCTTAGGGAAGTTCTGCAGCAGTATAGATCTGCATACTGCTCAGGTCAATTTAGTTTCCTTTTTGGGTAAAGTCAAATTGGCTTTCTTTTTTTGGTAATGTCAATTTAGCTTCCCTTTTTGGTAAGTGATCTAAAAATCACAATTACCCTACGAATTCAAAAGCAAGTTCAAGTTAAATTCTTTAATTAATTTTTGGGAAATTATCATTGACCTCCCTTGAGGTTTGATGTATTATCAATCACACCCCTATACTATCAAAAATATAATCTTACCCCCCTCCCTATCCATTAATGATGGTTAAATAACTCTTAATATATATTTAGAGCAAATTATAGATATATTTTCATAACCTTTCATTATGTCGCTTTTAATACTGTAATTTTATTCAATCACAAATTTGGTCGGGTAATTAATAAATTTGTCCATACTAAATTCATTTTTATCAAAAGTCAAACAAAATATATAAAAAACAAAAAATGACCTCACTTTAGGTAGTTCGTTTTATGCCTTTGAATTTGTAAGAGAAAACTATCAAATAAGCCCCTGTACTATACCGAAAAAGTCGATTAGGCCCTCGTACTTTACAAACACTCAATTAAGTCCTTGAACTGTTAAAAAACGTTCAATTAAGCCTTTTTGGTCGGTAAGTAATCGGTTTCCCGGTTAAATGTAACTCGTTTCCCGACAGCCGCCGTTGTCGGGGTTCGAGCACATCATCGCCGTCATCGCCGTTTAACCGAGAAACCGGTTACTTACTGACCGAAAGGGCTTAATTGAACGTTTTTTAATAGTTCGGGGTAGACCTGGACTCGGGCCGGTTCGGGCCCGGTTCGGGTCTGGGCCCGGCCGGGCCTCGGGCCAGGATAGTTGGGCCCGGGCCCGAACCGCCGGTGGGCGGTTCCGGTTCCGGTTCCGGGCCAAACCGGGCCGGGCCGGGCCGAACCGGAAATATTTTTTTTTTATTTTTTTGGCTCTTCTATTTAACCCCCAACCCCTCCCCCTCAACCCCAAACTACCCCAAACCACCTCAAATGGCCCAAAATACCTAATCCAACCCAATACTTTAAAAAAATTCAAAAAAAAAAAAAATTAAAAATCGGACCGAACCGGGCCCGAACCGGCCGGGCCGGTTCGCCAAAACCTCGGCCCGAGCCCGAACCGCCCAGCAGCCGGGCCGGGCCGAACCGAACCGTTGGGCCCACCGGGCTCCGGGCCGGGCCGGGCCTCACAGTAACCGGGCCGGGCCGGTTCCGGGCCGGGCCGCCCGGCCCGAGTCCAGGTCTAGTTCGGGGACTTAATTGAGTGTTTGTAAAGTATGAAGGCCTAATCGACTTTTTTGGCATAGTACGGGGACTAATTTGATAGTTTTCCCAATTTGTAAAGTTAGTAAGGATGTTTTTACTTGGACTGTAATTTGCCCCAGACCAGTCCAGACCAGACCAGACCAGACCAGACCAGACCAGACTTGGATAGTTATAAAAATACAAAGAAACCAGACCAATTCAGACCAGTTCAGACCAGACCAGACCAGACCAGCAAATTACAGTCCAAGTAAAAACATCCTAAATTTACTCAATTGAAAATGATCAAAATACGCTAAATTTGTCAAAAATTGAAACAAATCAACTTAAATGAACCAAACCCACTCAAAAATGAAGTTTACTACTCGATTTTACCATTAAAAATTAAATGCAAGAAAATTTCCAATTTGCACTCTAGACACTCTTTGTTATCACTAGAAATGAGATCATTATAGGTATAATAACAGCTTGTAAATTAATATTTGACAAAATATGAACATGTTTACATGTAAAAATACTGGTAAAGCAATTATAGTTTAGGACGGGTTGCACACCCAAACTGGTTAGTGCTAAATAATTAGAGCGACCCATGACCTTATATTCGGTTCCAATCTCCTAATTGGTCAAGATTCGCTCCCAATAATTCAAATATTTTAACTACCTATTTTTCAACTTGTAAATGGGCTATAACTCATCTTAAAATATTCTCAATGGTTTTAATGAAAAAAAATGAATGAGGTCAAAACAAGGACTCCAATCCCGATCCCAAAAAGTGAGGCACAAGGCCTCTTTTTCACCAGTCTGGTATCGATCCCGATCTGAATTCTTAATTTAAAATTCGGTCATTCTCGAGATCGGGTCTTGTCCTCCCCGAATATGAATCACAAAAGTAGGTATTTTGACCACTTTCCATACGAATCAACAATAGGTAACAATAGTCTCCTAAAAGTTCTTCACCAACATCTATTTTAGGTATAAAATAATATTCCTCGTTATCAGGCATTTTTCCCTCGTTAGAAAAGTTTCACCAAGATTTCTACAATCTCAGATATATTTTCGAACTTTTAAAAGTAATAGATATTTATTGTTTTAAGTTTGTATCTTTCGATTGTGTTTGCTACTAGTTCTATAAGTTTACTAACATGTAGATGTAGTTAAGTACCTAATAAATTTGTCAATAGTAAGGACTATTTCATCGGAAAGTATGTGTTCCTGCAAAAAAAAACACTTTCTGGTAGAAAGATTCTTAATACAGGTAAATTTATTAAGTATCAGATTGAATCTGCAAGTGAGAAAATTTATAAAATTAAATTTATACTTTTGCTAAACGTAATTATGAGTTATTAAATTTTCATTAAAGGATAGGGAGGGGGGTAAACGTATATTTTCAAAAGTGTGGGGGTCTAAGTGATAATACATGAAACCTCAAGGGAGGTCAATGATAATTTCCCTTAATTTTTTAATATAAGGATTTTTTTTTGTCTTTTTCTAAAGCAATAACGATGAATACCAAGTATGTTTTATTTCCTCAGTACTTTATTTCCACTGCATTTTTATAGCTAACAGTTTAGCAACGTTAGCTAGCTGGAATGATTTCAAGGAATGCAGCGACATTTTTGGAGGAACGGAAAGCAGCGGCATTTTTGGAGGAACGGAAAGCAGCGGCATTTTGTTTGAGGGGGGGCACATTTGAACGACTGTTGATCCCCTTAAAAAGACTGGTATATTTTGCAGAGTGAACGAATACATACATGTTCATTACAAGAATGTGATAATTATACAAGACGGCACTCCTATAGTCCTATCCACTTCTCCAGCTCTGAATTTGCTGAAGGGCAATTTCTTATCCCCTATGCTTAAGAATCCCCATCTATCCTCTAGTTGTTATGGCTGAAACCTGTACCTTAGAGGCAACAAATACAGAAATAAATATGTTTTTGGTCCTTTCACATACAAAAAAGGGTACAAAAAAATGGCACTATATTCGCAAGCCAAGTTAGTGAACTTAAAGGGATTTCTTGATTGCACCTTTTGTGTTTTGGGTCCACATCTATCTACATGTAATCAATGGCCTGAATTTCACGGAAAGAATCGCTTTTGCTTCTTAACACAGTTGCTTTATCATCCCTTATCTCAAGCACCTAGTAAATAGAGGACAAAATCAGGTAAGCAACAAGAATATAACGCACGCACAAATAAATAAACATGCAAGAGTTTGTGGACCTATATGCGAAGATAGAGCAAGAAACAACTCTCAACCCACTTCACCAAGTATAAAGTGGGAAACGTTTGAGGGGTGTGAATTATGTAAAATGCTCAAGTGACTTGAGTTTCACAATATTCATGCGGTGAGAGGTGAAGCTCCCCCCACCCACCCACCCCCCAAAAATGAATTGTTTTCTGGCTTCACCACTGCATTAAATGGTGATTGTTTTAGGGGAGGACATGTCACACCTCAGGCATTGAGTTAAGAACTCCACTTGACATTCCGACATCAATGCACCATATGCGGCAATTATATTTGCTGCAGAGAAACCAAAATAAGTTAAATGCATATCATTGAAAGGAAACATTTACAAAGTTGGGACCTTATTTATTCAAATGAAACAATTTTTTGGGTTTTCTTTTCAATCAGCTAAGAGTTGATAGGCCATAAAAAGTCAGCCCAATAAGAGAAGTATCTCAAATATCATACGGAGTGTGTTAATTTGTTATGTCATTTTTAGTAGTTGTGTTCGCATGTATTCAACACCCTCTACGACAAGACAGCTCATCTGAATTGTGTAATTGTTGATTTGTTTTTCTACCATTTCATGCATTATCATCATCATTGATTCTTCTGTCTTCGGTTTGTCATAATCGTCTACTCATCATTTTCTTTTCACAAGTGGTAACAACCATAAATCAGGTTAACTTATTATATCGTATTTAGTCAATGGGGGACAATATATTTATTTAACAATAAAGCTGAGATGAAAATACCAATTTGCTCCCATAGGTTGCGGCGTATGACCTACAACCATTGCTCTAGCACCTATTGCCGCAAGTGTCTCGTCAAGAATAGATTGGATCTGACAAAAACCAAATATATAATTTAAGTAACTAAACAGCACTGAAAATTGAAACACCTCGGAGAGAAACTGCTGCATGTAGCGCTTAAGAAGTTAGATATAGTTCGGTAAGAACTAAGAAGTAATGCAATGTAACTAAGTATACTTTTAGTATAGTTTTACACTACACATGCATTTGATTTTACACTGCATTAGACCTTACCAAACTAACCTTAAGGTACACTAACCTCGCTCATCTCATAGTTTTCTAAACATGAGTCGTCCTTGGAGTACAATCGGCTCCATACAACACTGTCATAGCCACTAGTAGCTATAAAAGGAATCTTTGGACGATCTTTTCCATCCATAAGACCTCTCATCCAATGACAAACTTCTTTATTAATTCTCTCTATGCCATATGCAACTGCAAGAGTGAAAAAATTCTACAGCTGATCACAAATGTTTCAAAGAGTACCAAAATCTATACAACTTTTACCATGATGAGGATGAGTGCCACCATGGCAGAAGAGCCAGTCGTTGACCTTAAGAATCACACCATGGCTTGATAACTCAGTGGCTAATGGACCACCAGGCCTTAAGAGGATTGACCGTGCAGTTACACCTTTCCGCCGCTGGCCTAATATTTAGAGGACGTAATAAGAGAAATACATCGAAGGGACAGAAACCGCATGGTAAGAAGGGTCAAATATTTATATTACCTCGGGTCTATTTGGAACCTATTAAAATACTAAGGAAATAAAATTCGAATGAAATAGAGAGGAAGCTTTGGAAGGAAATAAAATTTGAGGGGGGGAAACTGGTTCAAACTCAATAAATCAATTTTACATAGGTATTAAAATTATAAATGTGTGAAATCTCAAAGCGTTACCACTTTATTTGGTTTTCATTAACACTTTACAATATAGTCATTTTCCATTTTTTTCTTTCGCTACAGCATTCTAATATGGAGCTATAGGGTAGGGATAGAACAGACCTTACCAAATTTGGAGCGATCCCAAAAACTTTGAGACATCTTCCTTTCCCGCTTCCACCTATCACGCTCAGAAAACCAACCAGGGAAAGCTTTTTGCCAGTCATGTCCATGTCTTTTCAAGTATTCAAGGAAGTATGTACACTCGTCGAATGCTCCAGGATCGGCAAATCTGAAATCCCCTTCTACATTCATGGTTTCATGATTTCCAATGAGCTACAATGACCAGAATAAGAAATTAAACTTCCACCCATATTACTATAATGAACTTGTTGATCTAAGGTTCAGCAGTTCTCGCATATTTGCACTTGTAAATGCAACAAAGGATTAAACTTGAAAACCTTCCAAGTAATAAATGGCTAAAGAGTTGCCATGGGTTGGAATGAACGTGAAATTTCTATGGACAGGACCATCCTCCCCGTCCTAGTTTCACCATTAGAATTCTTTCACCACTCCACAGAAAACCTCGTGCAAAATGTGCCCTAACATAATATTCCCTATGTTCCTAAAGGATCCGTTTGGACCTGAGAATAGGAAGGAAAACTTGATGGGTGGTAAAGATAAACTCAAAGCCTAACACAAAAAATTGGATTTAGATCACTGTTCAAATTCTGAATACTTTATTTACTAACTTAGGACCTGGAAAACAGCTCCACCATGGGCTTTTGCTTGAAAACTCAATGACTTCAACAAGGAAAAGATCGCCAGTTCATCTTCTCCACGATCAAGTATATCTCCAAGCTGAACTAACACCTGGATGGAAATTGAAGGAGGGATATAATTTCGAAATCTAAAAGTAAAATAATGTGTGAAGAACCGGGGATGATGTTAGGGATCAGAAATTGCAAATTCATACTGTTTCTCCACCGATCCACGAGTCCTGACCATCAGAACTCAAAATACCGGCAATATGGAATGCACGCCTCGCCTTATCAATATCTCCATGCAAATCCCCGACTGGAAATAGTGTAATAAACTACTTAGAAACATGTAACCGGGCGTTAAATTTACCGGAGTGGTTATACTAATGAGCCGACCAGCATTAAGAAAAAATACCGGCGATAATTCTGCGACCAGGAGCAGAGACGAAAGTAGGCGGATCGCCATTGACGATAATGGGCTTTAAGCTTCCCAAGCCACCATCGTGATTGTTGTGCACAGCTAAGGTGTCTACTGGCTTACTTGGTAGTGATTGCGATGATTTGGTAACCTTAGATGGTATGAATTGTGGTGCCGAACATTTTAGGGACAGAGTAGCGGCCATTGAGTCACAGACCAGTCTTTCATCTGCTTTGCTTCTGTTTTACTCCGCCCAAATTGCCACACGTTTTGGGTTGGTTTGGGTTGTTAGATATTCTACTTATCTATAAAAAAAAAAGCAAAAAATGTGTTTGTTGATATAAAAAGTGCTTTAAAATGCCGGAATATATTAGCTTCTAACTAAATGCTTCTAGGTGTACTTGTATTTGAATAATAATAATAATGTCAACAAAATCTCAAAAATACCAAAATATCCTGTAATAATTACGACTTATCTGTCCCATAATCATGGACATCCGTTCATTCCATCAGGTTAAAATTATGTTTTTACACAATCTACTTGCATAGTCTCTTTTATATAGAGATGAAATCCCTAAAATTCCTCCCTTTCTCTATAGTTTCGACCAGCTAGATAGGAATGATACTCACACTATGAAAGAATTGAGGATACATGTATCAGTGCATGTATGTATCTTAAAAAGTTTTTCTAGGATTTGCTCGATTTTTGTATGGAATTATGAATGGTTTGTGAAAATTTTACCGATTTTCAGTTTCATAGTAAAGATTACAACATTACAACATGTTTGTAAAAATGTGTGAGATTTTAAGTTGAAACCTTACATTTTCCACACAAATCATAATCAACCCGTTTTATTAATGAGGGAAAAGGATCGTATAAGTCCCTTTACAATTTTAATTTCATCATGACATGTACTCAAAAATGCATCGTACGAGTCCATTTACAGGAAGGTGATTGTTTTTGCCTGTATCGTGCTCCCTCAATATTTTTATGTTCACTACACTATGTATGTTTGGAACTTTGGATCATTATTAAAGGAGTAAATTGGTATGAGTAATGAATAGTGTAGAAAAGGTAGGAGAGTGTGTGTAAAAGTATGAAAAAGAGGATAAAAATAGATAAAGTAATGGTAGTTGAATATTTTGTAAATGGTAAACTTACCAAAAATGAAAGTGTAGCAAATTTTTAAATACATCCCAAAAAGAAAAGTGTAGCAAACATAAAAATACGGAGGGAGTATGTAGTAATACGGAGTATTTTTTTAATTTTCCTTTTTTTTCATTATTTTTCTTTCTCTTACATGCTTCCTTTTTTAAATGGGAACATGGAAACTAATAATCCAACCTTTTAGCAGTCTTCTTTCAATAATCCCACCTTTTGATTATTCATGAATAATCCAACCTTTGCACCTCATCTTCATTCGTTGGTCCCTGGTCGGTTAATGACCTGCTATTCCAAGTTATTTTCTTATCTTTGCAAAATATTATATTTGTGAAAGATGAGATTTATGGTATAATGATTTGCAAAGATAAGAAAATAGCTTGGAATAGGAGGTCATCAACTGATCAGGGACCAGTGAATGAAGATGAGGTGCAAAGGTTGGATTATTCATGAATAATCAAAAAGTGGGATTATTAAAAGAAGACTGCTAAAAGGTTAGATTATTAGTTTCCATTTTCCCTTTTTAAATTCCTGCTCCCAACTCTTCCTTAAACATTAGATAAGTGATAGTATATTCATCTAACATTCTAAAATATTCTAAAATATACAATTATTTCCTTCAAACTTAAACAACATTCACTCCATTAATAACACATCACAATTGAAATTTGGGCCCCATTTGATGACATTGAAATCGACTGATTTTGCAGAGATTGATAAAGTTTTGGCTAAAATGGCTAATTTGATTGAATCTGCTGACTTAAAATAGTATTTAAAATACATCTTATTAGTTAAATGAATAAAAAAAATTATGAAGAGATGCTTTATGCTTAAGTGGTCATCTAAAGTAACTTCATCCAATTTAACCAAAAATGTAAGTCCAACTTTACTTATTTTGATTATAAAATAATTTTGTGTGTGATATAAAAAATTATTTGTTTGATGCAAAAAATGACTCACAAGGTTAAATGCCCGTTTGGTAATACCCAAATTGGCTGTATTGACTAATTCTGCTGAAGTTCTGGCTGAAATGGCTAGATTGGCTGTTTCTGTTGAAATTTATGGAGTTCTGACTGAAGTGGCTAGATTGACTGATTCTGCTAAGAACAGTGAAAAAATTATATTTAATATATATTTTATTAATAAAATAAAGAAAAAATTGTATGAAAAAATAGTTAAAATGGTCAGCTACAATAACTTCAATCAATATAATCAGAAAACTAACTTCAACCTTACATTTAATTATTATTAAAGTTGAAATCAAAAGTTAGCTTCACGTTGTTATATACTTGTATGGCATTTGTTTCACATTGTGGGGCAGGGTTCTTCCCTAGAAAACTCCCAACCAGAAGAATCGATGAAGCAGGCGACCCTTCTAGCAATTTTCTCGCCGTAGCTGCGGAGCAATCACCAGGCTCTTCAGTCCACACTAGTCCATGTTAACCTCACAGTACTAGTTCTCATTCTGTCGCCCAGCGACGAAACCGTGACAACGAAAGTTTGAAGAAGGCTTTCCGTATTTGGTTGTCTGTTTTGGTAAAAAAAGTCCATTTCTAGCCGTGAGGACTCCGATTGTGTTGGCTCTGCGTCTTACAGCCCAGGTAAACTGAGCAATTTTTGAATTCCTGTTGCAAAGTGCTCATTATCTTGAAGCCGGATATCTTTAAATTTCATCTATCCGAATTCGAGATGTTATATACTCTGCAATATTGGTTTGTTGGCCGTGTTCTGAGTTGATGATCGTATATGTGTAAAAATAGTATATTACCAATCATCTCTATTGTTTCCTTAAGGCAGTGTTTGTAAACTTTTTGGACATGATGTAGGAAATTGAATTAGTCAGGTCAACTAGAAAACTACAATAAGGATGCTTACCACCCTCCAGCCTGCACACATCCCCCAGCTTCCCTGTATCCATTCATCTGTTCGCTATAGCAGACACAGCAAACTAATAGCTTCAGTTGCTTGGAAGCATGGTCTGTCCACTAACCTCTCTTCTCTCTTCACATATCTTCTTATTTACTCTATCCTAGTAGCAATTTAAACTTTGTGCCATTAATACTGCGATGTGTTGATTAGATTTGTGAAATCTGGGATTTTAATTTTCACTCCGATCGACTGATGGTCAAGTGGTCTATACTCCACAGGCTTGCTTTTACTGAGCTCTACAAACCGCAAAGTTGGCTTAAGATTTTGGCTTTATTTTGTGCAATGCGTGCTTTAACAAAAGACTCCCTCCTTCCCATATTTAACTCCTATTTTGGCTTTGGGCGGTTTTTAAGAAAATGGAAATCGTGTGTTTGAAATTTGTTTAGTGGAGAGAGAAACCATATAAAACACAAAATCTTTTCCTTTAAAGGAAATGAGACGGGATATGATCTAGGGATGATCTAAAGAAGAAAGAACAAAGATTATTTTGGGACAAAGGGTGTAGTTTCTTAGAATTTGCAATGGAGTACTAAAAAAGATACCCGCCTTAGATGCCAAATCACTGTCTCTATATTGCTCCATTTCATCCTAAAGTTCAATTCATTACAACAGAATAACATTTTCTTCATTATTCTCTTGTTTTTTCTTTTACATATGATTGCAGATGAGACACCATTGACCAAGCGAATTCATACTTGTGCATCATGGCCTTCTTCCTGCTCTGAAATGAAGCTTAGTAGAATATCTGTAGATTATGATAATATGTTCAAATTCAATAGATTGCCAAACTGCATTCCCTTCAGATCTGAACTTAGTGGTACTGACTCTACGAGTGCTGTCCCTCCACTTTCAGGTGCAATTTGAGGCACTTTCACCCTTTCCTTTTCTTCTCGTTGTTCATTCAGATTTATGATATTTAGTTTTCACAAGTCTTCCCCTCTTACAGATATGCACTTGGATTCAAAACTTAGAGGGATTTGCTTCTATGCTGCTACCTCTTTATCTGCCATTTTTTTGTTTGTGGCAATGGTTGTTGCACATCCTTTTGTTCTCTTATTTGATCGCTACCGTCGAAAAGCTCATCACCTTGTTGCCATGGTCTGGGCAAAATTGACAGTCTCCCCATTTTATAAAATTGAGATTAACGGATTGGAAAATTTGCCACCCAATTATGCGCCTGCTGTGTTTGTGTCCAACCACCAGAGCTTTTTGGACATTTACACTCTCCTTACTCTTGGGAGAAGCTTCAAATTTATAAGCAAGACTGCTATTTTCTTATTTCCGATCATTGGCTGGGCCATGTATCTGATGGGAACTATTCCTTTGAGGCGTATGGACACTAGAAGCCAAATGGTATGTATGATGCTTACTTGCTCTGTCCCATTTTGATGTCCTTTTCGTGCAACAAATCAAGACAGAAGTTGTTTATAATGCTTTTTTGTTTTTTTCAATATGTTGCTCATTCCGTTCCAAATTACATGGGATTTTCGGATCAAAGGAGTTTACCCTACTTATTTACAATTCGTTTGTAGTACTATTTAATTAGTCATTGCAATTAGAGTTAAGAGTGGTATATTTTTAATTTCATGCCACCAACCCCAGTTAGTGCGAATCAAGGATGTGAAATTATTTAAATTACCCTAAATGTTCTATTAGATCCAGGAATTGAATTTGAGTATGATTATGAATATATAGTGACGTCTGTTATGACATTGAGGGAGTAAACAAGAATTTGTGAGTACATAAAGGTTAAAGCCCCGTTTGGGTGGTTGTTAGTTGCCAGGTTTTGGTTTTTAAAATTCCAAAGGGGGGATTTGACCTTTCAAAATTAACATTATTGGTATTTGTATGAGCAGTTTTGTTTTATTATACATGTATCATGTAGCATTTGAAATTGTAAATCAAAACTTGTAACTCGCAACCTCCCCAAATGAGGGTTTGAGGGAACAAATGAAATGAGATGGATAGAGTAAATAACAGTTAAAAGCTAAGTGAAGAAAGTGGGTTGTTCACCAATGAATAGTAACTAGTAAGTAAGATGGAGCTGATAAAGTATATTCACTAGTGCTACCATGACTTAATCTTATCAGATCAACTATAATGTATTGAAAATATCTTAAGCTTTGTTTCTCATCCGAAAATATTGCGCTCTCTTCCTCATTTCTTATGGATCATATTTTTAAGTTTTTTTTTTTTAATTTAAAAATGATTCAGGACTGTCTTAAGAGATGCATGGATCTTATCAGCGAGGGAGCGTCTGTATTTTTCTTCCCAGAGGGTACTAGGAGTAAAGATGGAAAGCTAGGTGTATTCAAGGTAAGGCCAATGCTTTACTTCTGCATTATGAACATAAACAATTTGGGTAATTGACTGGTCATTAGGAAAGAGAAGGGTTTGTGTATGATTAGCATAGACCATTAGCATTAGAGTACATTCCTATTTCTCTCAACTGTAGTCATCTTTCTACTTTTAGTCATCGACTTTGTTATCTTTCTCATTTAGTCTTCATTTTTTCTGAAAAATATCAATTTTATTATTTTACTCCCTCCATCATACATAGCAAGATAAAGGGTTTGGCACGGACGCACGGATTTTAATGAAGTATGTACTTGTTCTTTTACAATTTTAACCTCCATACAGTTAGAAAAAGTAGTATGATCCACAAGAAGTAAATATGTAAAATGACAAGTAAAGTGGTAAAGTAAAAAGGTAGTGGAGTTCAGTTTAGGAAAGTGTTCATATTTTTTGGACAACCCGAAATGGAAACTGTATCTTATAGAATGGGACGGAGGGAGTATCAAATCTCCAAAGTGAGTCCAATATATGTCCAAATGTAGTTTTTACAATGTTATAATATGCTCACTAAGTGATGAAATTGGGATAAGATTGTAATGTTTTGAATAATCGAGCACAAAGAAGGAAATTTCAGTTTGAGGACAAAAGTCAAAGCACCACTACAATCAAGGGACCAAATGGAAAGTATACTCTATAACCCCGTTCCTCTTCCAAAAAGGTCATTTAAATTTTATATTTGGATTTCGCATGTTGGATATGTTTAATTTGAAGTTTAATTAACTTTAGTGACCTATATTATACTCATCTTGTTCTAACATGTATCTTATTATCTTGTTATTATTTTGATATCTAAGAAAGGGGCATTCAGTATTGCTGCAAAAAGTGGAGTTCCTGTTGTTCCAATTACCCTTATTGGAACTGGTGAAATTATGCCAGCAGGAATGGAAGGCATGGTAAATTACGGGACAGTTAAAGTTGTCATTCATCAGCCTATCGAGGGAAGTGATCCAGAAGTGTTATGTAGGGAGGCAAGGAATGTGATAGAAAATCAACTTGCACTCCACTGATGAGAGAGATATACATTGTTCTTTTGTTTCATTTTATGATCCAAAGGGTTTTTTGTCTGGGCTTAAAACTTTACTTCTGCACTTCTTCAAAGAGTAGAATCAAAGAGTAGAATGTTACGGGTCACTACTTCAAAGAACGACCTCCACATACTCTTCACCAATGCGCGTAGTGCCTGCATGTCGTGTGTGGTTGCCCTGACATTGGATGGAGCTGCTCACACTGATTTAGGCGTGGATATGGTCCGGTCCTGGGCCATAAAGTAAAAAACAGGGGATCGAACAGGAATCAGAATTGACAGGTTGAATCATGATTTGGAGGAACAAGACAGGCATATAGCCTCCCTCAGTCCCTTGTATGAGGAGGAACTGGGAGTTCAAATCCAATGGTTGGGGAGTCGTGCAACACTACCTATGTGGGTAGTACTCCGTATCAATGTAGCCCGGTTTCAGATCACATTTATCTTCTAAGAGGATATGATAGTATGATACTATACCCTAGAGATTTATAAACTATAGTGAGTAAACCATATGCTTTGAATAACGAATCATTCCAAATTCCATAATTTATTTGAAAGAATCGACTGGAATATGGAATAAAGTTCTTAGGTATCTGTGGGACTCACTCCCATAATTCAACTGAGTCACAACATAATAAATGTATTATGAAAATAATAACAAAATCAATGTTTGAGGCAACAAAATTTAATATTGGAATATATTATCATAAGATTGAGATTATGTATAGTCAACAGCAGGGCGGGGCTAAGGGGAGTTAGGGTGGTCAGCTGATCCGCCGTTGAAAGTTTGAGAGGGGAGTTAGGGTGGTCAGCTGATCCGCCGTTGAAAGTTTGAGAGTATAGAGCTCTTAAATATCTTCGATTTGATACATTATGATTTATGGCCTCTGTAACTCATTACGAGTAAAAAGTTATGACTTATGAAAAATTAGCACTATCTAAAAGTAAGATTGGCAAAATTTGATGCATATTATAGATTATTTTTTCAAATTTAAAAAATGGGTTATAATTCACTCAATACTTACGTGACATGACTCAGAAACAGTGCAAAGACAATTTATCTTATTGCTATGAGTGTCTATTTATCTAAATTGCGCATGAAATATTCAACCCGGACATTGTTTAAAAATGCTTTACCATTTTCATTGTGTATATATATTGAGTTTCGACCTCCGAACCGTTTTTCTGGATCCGTCACGGTGGTATACTGGTATGCATATACTTCTGTAAACATATATGCATCTTAAATTCATGGTTGATCTAGTAATAAGTTAATACTAGGTAAATGATGACTCATTTACGCATATGAATACAATAATTTGAGATAATCAGATAATGTATTCATTTGGACAACAGAATGACAAAGGGAAAGTTCCCGAAATAGGACTAAAACAGTTTGAAAATTCCCAAGTAGGACTGTCATGTTTTTTATTCCCAAAATAGGAGTAATTACTGTCAAGTTTGGAAAATATTGCCATGTTTGAAGTCTGGTACTGCCAAAACATGGCAGTAATTTGTCCTATTTTGGAAATAAAAATAAAAACATGTCAGTCCTATTTTGGAATTTCCAAACCTTTTTAGTCCTATTTTGGGTAAATTCTCAATGACAAATTAATCTTGAAGTTAGTTTTAGATTTATATAGCTATACACCCAAAAAGGAAAAGAAAAAATGATTTTGCTTCTGGTTGGCGCGTATAAAGCGCTAGTTTTTCGTTTGTGAAAAAATATTTTTTTTCTATGTCACGGGACTAAAATGTTTATAGTCAAAAAACCAGGCATGTAAACATGACGCGTACAAACTGGCGTGCACAAGTAGTAAATTTGTAGAAAAAAATGGGGGAAAGAGCAGTGATGGCCGCGGGGAGAAAGGACGGAGGTGCCGGACTCTGGAAAAACTAATACTCCCTTCTTTCCGCTAATATGGTCTCACCTTTCCTTCGCGGTGCATCCCACTGAGGATCAGTTCGTATACCGTGAGATCATCCCACGGTGAGCATCATGCTCCCAGTCCAAAACGACGTAGTTTTAATCAATTTAATCAAATTCGCGTGAACAGTACAAGCGTGAACAATATTTTTTCTCTTGTTCCAGTAGTATAATGATGTAACTCACGTGTAAAGAAATGTAACTCACGTTATTGATGAATGTAACTCAAGTCTAGTCGAAATGTAACTTGTCTAAGACATATTATAAAAAATAAAATATCGATTTCATTGGAAAAAAGAGTCTTTTTTTACCCGAAAAGCCGTCCAAAAGACGGGGTTAGCGTCGGGAAGCACTAACCTATTTTATTAAAAACCTTGTGAAGAAGTTACATAAGGTGTAAGGAAATGGAAAAAATAGTCTAATTGCCCAAATATTTTACATAAATAGTGTACATGTTTTGTTTTTAATATCAGGGCTATAAAAATAATTTTGTTTATTAAAAAATATATATTTGAATAGCAGGGGCTTATTGGGTTGTGTAACTCGCATTATATTTTAATGTAACACACACTTTAATTGGAAAATGTAAATCAAATGTAAACATGATGTAACTTATTAAGAAAAGTTGACATGTAACTCACGGTATAAGATATGTAAATTTAGGCAAATTCTGATGTAACTGCATATATTTTCAGATATAATTTGAGTCAAATCAAAACATAGATTGTCTGATACTGTTTAATAATTTTTTCAAGAAAAATAAACAATCATCAAACAATCATCCGTTTTTAACAATCATCAAACAAGTTTTTTAAAAAAATTAAACAATCAACCCATCATCAAATCTCCAATAGTGGAGCATATATTGAGATATATAGGAGAAGGCAGAAGCTGCTCCTAAACCTGAAGTCAGAGGCGGTGAGCATATTTATTTTCTCAACCATAGCTTTTTAATCGGTGAATGATGAGGAGCTAGCCAGGCCAGAGCTCACGCAGTCACACTTCTACCACGGCAGCTGTATATTTGCTCTCTCGCTATATATACTCTCTTTTTTAATTAATGAAACGGCGTGGTTTTGGGATCGGCGCACCATGCTCATGGTGGGCGATCCCACGGTATAAATTGCCGCTGAGGATGTTTTTATTTGGGATGTTATTAGTTTCAGATCAGACTAGAATAGATCAGACTTGGTCAATTATAAAATACTGAGACCAGACATTTACTAGATCATACTAGATCACACAACACCAAACCAGAAAATTCTAGTCTGAGTAAAAATATCCTAAGAAGATATTATCTCATACCAAAATTGATAAAATTTGTACGATTCTAAATACCGTTTTTTTATTTATTCTTGCTTTATTAATTCAATATTAATACAATAGACTTAGGTTCTTAATAAGTCCATCACCTCATCTCTCAATGTTAGTGAGGTTGAGGTAGTACTTTTTTCTGTAAAGGGTTATACTTTTTTTTTGCTCCAATGTTTACAAAAAAATTATCAAAACTCAAAACTTATGATCAAATTGAATTTATGCGTCATCATCCCATTTTTTAGTTTTTTGATAAAAAATATTTTTCATGCTTAAACCTCTCTTATTCTTGTAAAACTCTGCATTGTTAGATGAATTAAATTTGTTTCATTTAACTTTTTACTTTTTTACTCATCCCATTTTGATTATTTTACTTTCTTTTTTGTATTATCCCAAAATTAATGGTATGTATCTATAAAACTTTACTTTATTCTCTTCATACTTCAATCACAATTATTATTTTCCAATCATTCTATTAATAATTATTCCAAACTAAATGAATAGGAGGTAGTTCATTCTTTTTATTGTGGTTATGGATTTTTAAAATGTATGCTGGCATCATTAAAAGAAAGTGTGGATTTTTTCAAGCGTATGGAATCCATACATACTACACACTGAAAGTCTGAAACAGCAAACTGAAACTACCAAGACGAAGAGATATCAGTGACCATCCGCGACACGAGATGAAAAAGCTAAAGCTAATGGCGCCCCTCAAATGTGGGAAGCCAACGGCCAAGAAGAAAAGCGACGAAGCAAAGCACAGAGCATTTCGCTCTCTAGCACACGTCCAATCCATTCCATCACAGAATCACACGATTACAGTTAGGGTAATCGTCGCCCAGATCGGGGTTTTTCTCCCTTTTCCATTTCCTCCATCTGTAACGCCCGCCGATGATGAAATGTGCATAGCCTCCTAGAAGGGGAGTCCATAGCAATGGCGAACACGAGTTATATACCGCATAACGAAACGGAACTGATCAAGAGTGGGCTTTTGGTGTGCCTTCCATTGCGCGATACCCATACCCGCAGTGTCTTCTATGGAGACAGCCCTCTGGATCACACCATGCCCCTTATCTATGCGGAGCTCTCTGTCATCATTCTCATAACCCAGCTTCTCCGTGTTCTTCTCAAGCCACTCCGCCAGCCCAGAGTTGTCTCTGAAATCATTGTGAGTCCATTCTCGGAATTTTCGTTCATTGCGTTCTTTGCATAATTATTACAGTGCTTGAAAACATGTACAAGCTTATTAGAGATTTAGAATTCATAATTTTATCAAATTAAGCTATAATGAGATAACTGGAATAGAGAATGGTATCAACTTCTGTAGTTTGGTTGAATTTGGTTTAATTTGTCGGAGTATCATTCCATTTTTTGATGATGACCAAATTACCTATGAAGTCCAAGCTTGCATGGGAAACCATCTCGATCTCTTCCCAACTTTGAATGAAAAGATAACCATCAAGGGCTAAGGCTATGCATGGAGCAAAAATTGTAGGAAAGGGAAGAAGATCCCAAGGAAAATAGCTATTCAATATTTGGATTCACATGGGAAAATATAAAGGAAAATCAAGTTCCATAAACTCGTTTTTATATTTTGTTACGTATAATTACATTTTTTTAGTCTTTATATAATAGAAATATCTAAATATGACCAGTTTAAACAATACTTAAATCAGGCTTATTGAGTTTGAACCACTTCCCCCAAACTTTAATTCTATTTCCCTCTTTTTTTCCTCAGCATCTATGGCTTTCAAATGAACCCTAAACGAAGCTGAGCAAATATTATTTAACTCCTAAAAGGAGAAAGATTTCCAATGAAAATTTATTCAAAATTACCAAACTAGAGAATTCCTTTAATTTGAGAATTGATGGGAGGAAGGAATAAGTGTCCATTTCCCACAAGGCCTTTAACTAATTCTCCATCTGTCATATAAGAAACCTTTCACTTGTTTTTTACACGGAGTTTTAGAAAGTGAGATTATGTGTTAGAAATTTATCTATGAAATGGAGAAGCAATTTCAACTTTATTTAGAAGATGAAGAGTTTACTTTGGGACATCCTAAAAGGAAAGTGGGATATTCAATTTGGGACAAAGAGAATAAATTGATTCTATCATTGCATATATCAGTGTTTCTAATTGATCTTTTCTCTTTCTGCTGCAAGGGAGGGGTAATTATAGGGCCATCAGTTTTAAGCCGAAGCAAGAAATTCCGTGACAAACTTTTCCCAGAACGAGCTAAATTTATCACGAGAAATGTAGGACTTCTGGGGTTCATGTATTTCCTCTTCCTGTCTGGGGTCAAGACGGATTTGTCCCTTTTGAAGAAGGTAGGGAAAAAATATTGGTATGCAGCTGGATTCATAGTTGTTCTTCCTTTGCTGTGTGTTATATTTGTTGCAATCCCTCTCAGAAAGTCAATGGAGAAAGAGGTTGCAAAAGTCTCTTCCCTTATTGGAATTGCTTCCGAGTTTGCAATAACATCTTTTCCTGTTATCTACCCTATCATCAAAGAGTTCAACCTCCTCAGTTCAGAAATGGGAAGGACGGCATTGTCCGTTGCCGTTGTCAGTGATGTGATTGGCAACCAATTTTTACTGATATTTGACGCATCCAAACAAGGAGAAGCAAAGAGTTCAGCTGCTTATTGGTTCACACTTTCTACGATAGTTATGATGGTATCCGTCTTTATAGGTCTTCGACAAGCCATGATTTGGATAGTACGTATAACCCCAGAAGGGAAACCCGTTGATCAGATTTACGTGATTGCCATATTATTAGGAGTCATGGTTATTGGCTTTGTATGTGATTTTACTGGGATACCCATTGCCAACGGGCCCTTATGGCTTGGATTGGCAGTTCCTGAAGGCCCTCCGTTGGGAGAAACTATAGTGGAAAAGTCTGAGACGTTTATTTTGGACCTTCTAATGCCCTTTTCATACGTATACGTTGGGTTGATCACAGATGTATCCACTATAAGCAGCCATTGGTCTATTTTGCAACCTCTTTTCATAATTGCTGTAGTGGGTTATATAACAAAACTGCTTTCTGTTCTGCTGATCTCTAGTTTCTTGAACATGCCACTTCGAGATGGTCTTGCTCTTAGCCTTATTTTGAGTCTGAGAGGTCAAACTGAAGTTTTGTTGTATTTGCATTGGATCGAAGTAAAGGTAACCATTCTCGCTTGTTTCTTCACCATTCTCACCCCTCCAAAAAAAAAAGTCATGCTTGACCATTGCACAACCTTACAACTATGTACATATAAAATTTATTTGTTGGTTCAACCAAATTATCACATGCAACTAACATATGCTATGATTTCACACGCAAACTATAATATGTTTTCTCATACAATATTTGGTCATATATGTGTGGTTTAGAGTCATTCATACTTTCAAATTCGTTATCTGCCACATACTTCTACTTCTCTTTGAATTGCGAGCTGCCTCTCCGTGTCCGAAGCAGATTGGGATGGAGGAAGCATTTGAAACATGACTTTTTTTCTTTTGGGGAGAAACAGAGGAGCGATTTTTTTATATTTGAAAACTGTGTGAATTCTTAAATCTCTGTTGCAGATGATAACACCTCCTTATTATGCAATGCTGGTAGTAATGACAGTGATGGTGACAGGCATAATCACTCCTCTGCTCAGTATAATATATGATCCAACCAGGCCTTACAGGGTTAACAACAGAAGGAATGTTCAGCACACAGCACCCAACTCTGAATTGAGAATCGTGACATGTATACACAAGGAAGAGAATGTTCCGGGACTGCTCAAACTCCTCGAACTCACCAGTCCAACGGTTAACAGCCCTTTCTCGGTTTATGCAATACACCTAATCGACTTAATTGGTCGCGCCGTCCCTGTTTTCATAGATCATCACGCCCGTGATGGTCCAGCAAAAAAGAAGTCCAAAAAACCGGTTACTCAAAGCCCAATACATAACGCGTTGAAGCTCTTCCAGGAGGGTAGAGGTGAAGGAAACATCAAGATTCACCCTTACACATCCATCTCCCCGAAGAAGAGCATGTACCAAGACATATGCGAGCTGGCACTCACGAAGAAGGCCTCTCTCATCATATTGCCGATCCACAGAGATGTGGTTCCTGACGGATTCCAAACTGTGAACTCTAGTGTACTGGCCCATGCCCCTTGCTCAGTCGCACTACTCGTCGACAGGGGTTTTGCTGATCAGAACCTCCGCACGAGGCAGCTCTCGAATTACCATTTCGCCTTCCTATTCTTAGGAGGAGCCGATTCCCGCGAGGCACTCGTTTGTGCCGACCGGATGGCTTCCCGGCCTGAGATCTCCCTCACGGTCATCCGATTTCTCGCGCATAATGGGGAAGGTGATAATGAGATGGAGAAGAAACTGGATGATGGGCTGGTAACGTGGTTCTGGGTGAAGAACGAGGCGAACCGGCAAGTAGTTTACCGGGAGGCGGTGGTGAGGAATGGGGAAGAAACGGTTGCCGCGATTCAGGCCATGAAGGAGGAGGATGATTACGATCTGTGGATAGTTGGAAGGAAGCAGGGGATTAATCCAGTGCTTTTGCAAGGGTTGACGAATTGGAGTCAGAACCATGAGTTAGGGGTTATAGGAGATTATGTGGCCAATACAAATTTAGGTGGCACAGCTTCTATATTAGTAGTGCAACAGCAGATTCTAAGAGGCAGGGAGAGTGCTTATAGTGCCTTAGTTGGGAAGTTTTCTTGGTGTTTGTAAGCATAGTGTAGTAGTAAAGATTTATTACTCTGTAGATACCACTGTTAGCAAAATGAAACACAGTAATTGTTTTAGACTTTGACCTACTGCATACTTGATGTAACATTTGCTTTCTGTTGAGCAAAGATTTGTTTCATGAAGTCGTTCTTTTTCCTTTACTGTAAATTATTCTTGACTAAGTTGACTTCAATGAAGTTGACATCTTCTTGAAGGATTAAAGACCGTGCTGAACTAGATAACATTGAGGTAAATTGTGAACATGATCCTGGTTTTTAACTAAGGAGGATCTGGTTGACTTGTGGTGTTTCCAAGTGCAGGCGGCGTTCTGAGCTGAAGCAGAGGCGCAAGTATTAAACAAGCCCAATAAGTGCACTTTTTATTCAATGATGTGAATAAAAAGCGGTAAAAAACGTTGATTTTTATAAAACATGTAAATATGTATGTGTGTATAATGTTGTATCTGTTGCAAAAAAAATTGGAAGGGTCATGTTTTGAACATTTAAATTATGTACACAAAACAACATATTATTATGAACAACATTTAAAAAGAAATAAAATATACACATATGCAAGTTAACATCATCATCTTCACTTGATCTTTGGAACATTATTTTAATAAATATTAATTATTAAAGATAATGTTAAAGAATACTTGATGTGTTATTATTATCATTCATAAGTGGGGGGAAATCATGATAAAAAATATGATAACAAATCATGCTGAAACTAATGCCAATAGTCTACAACTCTCTAAAAAGAGATAACAGAGACAGCTTATTGTTAATAGTGTGTAGAATAACTTGAATGGGAAAATTTATAGAGATTCTGCAGTGTTCTGGGGAGAAAAATGCCTCAAAAAAAGGCGAGACCAAGGGGAAAATTGAACTACAAAATAGCAGAGGCTACAAATGAGATTTGAATGCCTGAAGTGATTTTAGTTTTGATTCACAAATTGTGTTGAATTCGTGTAACACTGAGACCTGACCACTTCTGATCTTCCTTGCCACGTCAGCGGGACTCCACGTCATCAATGCTTGCGAGACCCGATACCCCACCACATCATCATCATTTGCTGACGACGCCAACTTGTTTATGACCCGAAACACCTTTCCTGGCCCACCCTCAGTTTCTCCCCCCTCTCCATAAAGCGAAGAAAGTAAATTCTCCCACTCTGCGCCTTCTTCAACTTTGCTCATGTGTTCTTTCAACCAATTCAACACGTACTCTAGAACGTCACATGCAGATTGGATGGAGACTTGTATTACTATTCCTTGAGAAGCAATTGACTGGTCTTCTGAGTGGGCGCCTTTCTTTTTCCTCTTTCCTGAAGGGAAAGCAGACCGTGCATATGACTGCATGACCAGAGTGTGCCAAGCCATGGGTTCTGTTAGCAGTTGGACTAGGGTGTGAAAATCACTGCCTGATGATGATGGGTGTGCTCCGATGGATGTGATCTTTTCCTCTACACATTTTTTCAGCAATGAGCTCACTAGGTCCCACGTGGTAGGGGTTGTGGGTGACTCGTGAGATAATAGATCCCATGCGTTCAAGAAGACAACAAAATTCATCCAGCCAATCAGATCGTTGCTCAACTCCTATCATGTAGGAGAAGAATTATCAGGTTTAGCAAATGCATCACAATAAAACTAGAGATAGTCATGAATAAATCGTTTGTGTATCCAAGAAAGAGAAGGCTGATAACATAGATTCTTATTAAATAAAAAATGTGCAAAAGGAACTAAGATGGATATATTATACCGAAGTACTAATTTGCAAAGATTATCTTTTTATCTTTTTTCTTTCTTATGTTTATCTTATATTTATCTTTATCTTAGCCATTTTATCTTACCTTTTTTCCTTTTACCTTTCTTCTCTTTTTCGCACGGATATCATGGATTGATTCATGTTATCTGACCTCGAATTCTTTTGGGATTAAGGCTCGGATGTCGTTGTTGACTTGTTGTAGTAGTAATTTGCGAAGAATGGAATTTCTTTCATGAATAAAAGTATGTGAGTCCATAACTCAAGTAATCTGTATAATTAATTTACATTTTTTAATTTTTTCTTTATATTGTTGTTAGATTTTGTTCTTATAAAGACAGACTAATTGATTGTTAAATGTATTTCTTTTTATTAGTCTTTGGTTACAAATTACAATCATATGCTATTATTTTAGTATCTTTTAAAATTTGAGGTTTAAACACTTTCTATTATAAAAAGTTGTTTGAAATGATTCCTAATACTACTATATGACTAAAATAAGTATGGTAGACAAAAAAGTGACTCAATAATAGTAATTACGACCATGTTCAATTTGTATATCGCATTGAGCCAGTGACCATAAAAACACTCATACTAACTTTAGTCACATTTGTGTCTATATGTTATTTTTGGAAAGTTGTGTCTATATGTTGTATTCTGGTAATTAGCTACTTACATGCTTGCATCTGGCAGTCCTAAGTATACCTCTAATTGAAAGTATACCTCTAAGTATACCTCTAATTGAAAGTATACCTCTAATTGCTTGTGGCCACTCAGTACTCCAAATGCTAGCTCCAAAGCATCTTGGACTGAAAATCCCAAGGCATTGGCGTACTGATCAAGCAAATGCTTTAATTCTGATGAGAGGTTAGGATCAAAGGGTGAGGCATTGCTTTCAGTACTTTCCTTCACTGATGTTGCAGCACAATGCATTGACAGATAAACCATGCGTGGGATAAGGGATCTCTTCTCAATGTTTTTAATCGTGTTGGCTTCTGATTTTTGGATTTGCTTATGCTGCAAATAACAGTTGACATGATGTTAGTTTATTTCCCTTCTTTATTTTAGGGAGGGGTTGCTCCAGCACCTACTAAAAATATAGAAGCATTCCCTACCATGATTTCTTTAGGACAACAGGATACTCCTTCAAATGTATCTGCAACCAAGAAAAACCAGCCTAAACACTTCACCAAATATCAAACAAACACTTGCACATACCAAAAGATTAAAGCAACGTGAACTGACCTAACAGATAATTTTTATCATATGTTGGAGTCCACCAAGGGCGTAGTTGTAAATCTTGATTGAATGTCAATGGCTTAATTCCAATTTCATTTAACAGTTCAAGGATCTGAGCTCCAGACTTCACATTTTCTAAAATACACTTTTAAAATATATATACATTGATTTAGAGAAATAAAAAAGACAGGCAATTAAAATAAAATGCAAAGGTAACTTTAAGCACAACCATAAAAAAGGGAAATAGTTACCTCCTCTCCCTCAATGCTATTTGCGTTCTGTTTCATCTGCAAAATGGTTGCTTCAATCTTTGCCATCACATACTGACTTGAACGCTGCAACCGTTCTTTGAATTGAACAAACTCAATAGCCTAGACAAAATACAAGGACAATATTTAAGTGCTATGGCTTTTATTTTTAATTTTTTTAAACCTGTGGACTATGAGATAAAAAATAAAATAGAGATGTATAGAATTTAGGCAGAGAGCAGTCAACATACTTTTGAGTAATTCCTGTGACGGTAGGCAAGAAAGGTAAGATCAGCAGATTCTTTTAAGTGATCATCCATGAAATTCAAATAGCGCCTCAAAACATCACTAGTGTCTGCCCACAGTGGAGATGTCAACATCTGCGGTAAAATATGGTGACATGCAGTTTCCAGCAAAATATTCTTGACCTCCAGTGACTTGTACCTATAGAGAGAAAAAGAAGTAGTGAACATGCATGAAAATGTGGATTAGCTAAAATATCCCCATTATGGTCAAACATAAGAGTAATACAGTATACTAAAAGTCACCATTCATAGGCCAATGGAAGACAGCACCAGTGAGAATATAAATGCAACAAAAGGATCTTATACTGGAACACGTATCTGTTATCAATAAAAATATGAAGATCATATTAGACACAAATCAAAAAGACAAAATATAAATTCTGACTAGTTAACCTATATTAAAAAGACAGTGGAAACTTAATCATTAGTTGGTCTGTAGGGTCATTTTAGTTTTTGACATGTGCACCTAAAACAACATTTAGTGTGTGGATATAAGGTTAACAAAAAACTAACTAAATAATACAAAAAACAGTTACCTGCGGACTGTCAAACCAAATTCTAGAATCAAGATTGACTCTAACAAATAGCCAAGATTCCTTGTACGCCAGAAAAGCTACAGCAGATGGAGAAGATAAGGTAGATATTGTATGTTTAACAAGAAAAGAAAATCAACCCCTCATATTCCTTGCATAGAGCATTGCAGAAAAGAGAATGTCTTAACAGAAAAGTTATGTTTGTTAACATAAGAGCATAGCAGCCCAGTTCTGTTTATATTTAAAATATTTTAATCTTACATTTAAAAATCCTATTATTTGTGGGAGATTAAAGTACCTGAACTAACACATTGCATGTCATAGTCAAAAGCTCTTCACCATACATGCTTTCTTGTTCATCCAAGTCTTTGGATAAAGCAAGGTTTTCACAGTACATGTCTGTCATTTGAACAGCAAGCTTCTCAAGTTCTGAAAAGGAATTAGAGACATCAATCCACTAGAAGATAGTTCATTAAACAAAATGTTCATTAGTTTCTTAAATGCATCAGTAATAGTTCATTAAACAAAGTGTTCATTAGTTTCTTAAATGCATCAGTATTATCTGTTAAGTGAAAAATATATTGACTAAAATATGCACCAAAATAGAGCTGACAGGGAACTAACAACATGAACGGGAATTATATACTCCCTCTGTCCCTTAAAACTTTCTCAGGTTTGATTGACAAAAGTCAAAACTGTGTGGTTGAGGTTTGTGCAGAGAAGAGAGGAATAACCACACATTCAGATATTCTACTAACGAGCTTATAAGAAAAAAAAAACACATTGTTCCTAAAGAACTTTAATTCTACAGGAGCAGGATACAACCACCACAAGTGAAAACACAACCTAATCTAGAATACCTACTTTAATTCATGGTAGTCAAACTTGAGATCCTGCGTAGGACCAGATTGGGACCTAAAGATCGTAAATTGGATCCTAAGTTCCTACATATACATATGTACATGTGTCAGTGTGTGTATCTATGTTATATACCAAAGTAATACAGTAAGAAACAAAAGTAAAAAAAACTAAGTAATACTCCCTCCGTTCTTTATTAACC